AGACACTGGCATGAGTGTGTCCTACCCCCCGTAATGCACATTTTAAAATATATATTTATCGCTTGCCTTTTCACTCAGGTCTGCAGCTTTCTGAGCTGCTTCCTTCCAACTTCACTGGCAAGGGGTGGTTTCACAGAGCTGTCGCCGAATGCCGGGCTGCTTAAACGGTGGCGAGAGGTCTCGGGGGGTTTATAAACTGTAGGGTGCTGGAGGGTTTGATCCAGGAAGGCAACTTCATGATTGCAGCAAAAGTCTCACCCTAGCAAGAGCCAACTTTTGGGCACCATTTGAGAGTCTTCTTGTTCCGCCTGGTTTCTCTGCAATTAGGCTGCTTATAGTGAATGAAACTGATAAGACTTCTTCCCCCACCACACACACACTCGTTGAAATTAAAATATTAATGTTGCGTGCCTTACTTGGGGGGGGGGGGGCTTTTAATCTTGGGAAAAAAAAGTTTCTTTTTTTTTATTGTGTCCAGATTTTTTGTCTGTTTACATTGATAGCTAATAAAATACCCAACCTGAATGGCAGTGTTAACTGTCTTTCCGAACTCATAAATGCAAGGGCTGTTAGTAACATTGTGACGTGCCTGTTACCCTTGGAATTGTGAATCTCATGTCAAGTCCAATGTGAAATTAGTCTCCACTTATTGGCTAATGGATTCTGCTTCACGTCATGTACTACAACACTTAATTCAGTGGAGTACATTCTCCTGTGATTGATGGTTCTTTATTGCTGGAAAACAACCAGTAAAAGTTGAGTTGCCATTACTTTTTTAAAAAATGTTAATATCCATTAAATTTTTATAACTGAATATGATGGGGCCTTTGTGGCTTCTTGCTTGTGATGTTTTATGTAACCATTTTTTCCCCACATAGTTATATGTTCCCCAGGGCTCAGTTTTGGGGCCGGTCTTGTTCAACATCTTTATCGATGATCTGGATGAGGGGATTGAGTGCACCCTCAGTCAGTTTGCAGACGACACCAAGTTGGGCGGGAGTGTTGATCTGCTCGAGGGTAGGAAGGCTCTGCAGAGGGACCTGGACAGGCTGGATCGATGGGCCGAGGCCAACTGTATGAGGTTCAACAAGGACAAGTGCTGGGTCCTGCACTTTGGCCACAACAACCCCATGCAGCGCTACAGGCTTGAGGAAGAGTGGCTGGAAAGCTGCCCAGTGGAAAAGGACCTGGGGGTGCTGGTCGACAGCCGGCTGAACATGAGCCGGCAGTGTGCCCAGGCGGCCAAGAAGGCCAATGGCATCCTGGCCTGTATCAGAAATAGTGTGGCCAGCAGGAGTAGGGAAGTGATCGTGCCCCTGTACTCGGCACTGGTGAGGCCGCACCTCGAATACTGTGTTCAGTTTTGGGCCCCTCACTACAAGAAGGACGTTGAGGTGCTGGAGCGTGTCCAGAGAAGGGCAACGAGGCTGGTGAGGGGTCTGGAGAACAAGTCTTATGAGGAGCGGCTGAGGGAACTGGGGTTGTTTAGCCTGGAGAAGAGGAGGCTGAGGGGAGACCTCATCGCTCTCTACAACTCCCTGAAAGGAGGTTGTAGCGAGGTGGGTGTCGGTCTCTTCTCCTAAGTAACAAGCAACAGGACGAGAGGAAATGGCCTCAAATTGTGCCAGGGGAGGTTTAGATTGGACGTGAGGAAAAATGTCTTTACTGAAAGAGTGGTTAAACATTGGAACAGGCTGCCCAGGGAAGTGGTGGAGTCCCCATCACTGGAGGTATTTAAAAGACGAGTAGATGAGGCACTTAGGGACATGGTTTAATGGGCATGGTGGTGTTGGGTTGACGGTTGGACTCGATGATCTTAGAGGTCTTTTCCAACCTCAATGATTCTATGATTCTATATTTCAGACACTGGCTGAAAGGAGTTTAGCTGACTTCAGTTCAACCTACCATGTGAAGAGTACTCTTCTGCAGTAAGATGGTAGAATATTTACCCAAACTAACAGATGCTGCTAATGAAAGACTAAAACTCATGCACAGAGGGAACGGAACACATCTTGCCTCGCTCTCCAAAGGGAGTAGATGTTGAGCTTAGTTAGCCAGCAGTGTATGGCAGAGTAAGACTCCCATAACCTGGATGGCAACATCATTATTTTTTCTTATTTTTGTGTAATACTCTCTTTTAAAGTGAAATTCCTGCTCCTGTTTTTTGCCAGTTTATTAACCCCCTGGAGATTTCAAAAGCCAGTTTTTAGATTTTCTTCCTTGGAAGGCTGTGGAGAAGCAGCCTGTGAATGTGGTGCTGTGACATTTGCAGATTTACAGTGCGGGCAGTAGTAACCAACTTTGAAGAGATGAGTAGGTTTTGAAAAGGTCATACACAGATCTTGTATTTAGCACTTTCCTTCTGCAGATCATCTTGTTTACAAATGTTTTAATTAATACTTTAGCAGCTGCTTCCACAGGTACTGATAAGATGTATTATCACAATTCAACAGGCAGGTGACGTGTCACCCAACGGTGACATGTAGTCAGTGGTAGCGTTGTGAAGACCCTTTGTGCTAAGTACTGGACCACATGTGCTCACCTCTTGGTGTTGAAGGATTGCTCATGCTTTTAGCTCTTGCACCATTTGATCCAGGTCCCATTGCTTGGGGAAACTAATCCAAATAACCACCCAGTTACTGACTTACATACTCTGTGTCTACCGCAACGGGTATATTTTTAATTCATCCATGTGTGTTTACATTTTAGATAAATGTGATCACATATTTTTAATCTAGTTATTCCTGTAGTAATCTTTAGGAACATAATCTTTAAAATGTAATGTGAAATGATTATTTAATTGGGTGCTTGTAGCAGAATTTCTCCTGTTGAGATTTCTGACTGGCTAACCAATTTCCTTGAGCAATATGGTTTTCCACATGATAGACTCCCTTATTTTCCTCAAGAAGATACTGTAATTTTAATTGGAAAGCTTTGACATATTTTGGATCGACTCAGAAAAGTCAATTTTTCTTTCATTAAAGATCTTGTACAAATGGATGCAAATAGAAACAAATGGAAAATGAGACACTAGCACTATATTGGCTTTTACTTCAGATTTTGGTTTGGTTTGCTTGGGCATTTTGTAAAGACTGAGGAGGTGGGGGGGATGTATATAATATATATATTATACATCTGTATTACCTATATATTTTAAATAAGCTCAGTAATGCAGTTTTTTCGTGGGAGGAAAGTGTTTTGTGATGCCTTCTGGGGCTTTATCCCCAGCCAAGCCCATTTTATCTGGGACCTAAACAATGTCCAAGTCTCTGCTAGTGTTCAAGAGGCAGATGTGCCCCACTGGCATGTTATCTGTCAGCCTGCAGGCTTATCTAAACACAAAAATGATGCAGCATTAAATGAGAGGGGTAAAATTAGCTGGTATAAAATTCCTCTGCAGTGTTGCACGTACAGGTATGCTTTGATAGCCACAAAGCAATTTTTGTATGGGAGTCTGTATAAACTGTACTGGTAGACTTGCCTCTAGCTGGGAATTACATTGGTATAAATGTACACCTCTGACAGATACAGTTATTCAAACACTTTCTGTAGGGGAGGTCCCAGCTCCTAGGGATGCAAGAATATGAGGATTACTACTGCAAAGTTGTGAGGAGTTCTGTTTTTTCCAGCATGTTTGGTTAACGTTGTTCATACTTAAATTGCCACTCAATTCAGGCACCTGACTTGAGACAAATGGAAATAAAAGGGATGTTTCACATATATCAGGTCTGTAGTTTTGCACTCTCAGCAATTTTTCATAGGCCATGGCAGATGTCCTCTTTCACTCCCAGCTGTGAGAGAGGTTACTGATCCTGTCTTCCCATTCCCATCGGCCAAAGGTTATCACCAAGGAAGCAATTCACAGGAATGTCCTTGTATTAGGCAAAATTAGCGGCCTTACCCTAAACTAAATTATTGGTCTCAACTAACTTGGCAGACTGTTCCCGCAGTGAGTTAACAGGTGCTTACACATACTGCTTGACTTGGTACTTTGGTGGGTCATCAATGAGAAGTTAAGAGCTGCCATCATCTTCCTCTAGCACAGCTGGATACAAAAGACTTCTTTTCGTAGCCTCAGTTACTTTTTTCCACTTCCAAAAGCAGGTTCCAGCCTTCAGGGCTACAAACGCAAGCCAGTTCATTAAATGAAATCTGAGAAAAAGAAGAGGATGGTTGAAAGTATAGATGTTTCAAACAATGGCCAACCTGGTATGACCTACCTCTAGCTCTGCGCTCCAGTGCTGTTTCTATTGGGTGGTGTTGGTTTCTGATATGCAGCAATAATTTTAACACCATTACATTCTCTCTGGCCTTTTCCTGAAACATTAGAAAAATCTTAGCAAAGTTATGGAGTTGTAACAACTCAGATCCATCAAAACTAACCAGGAAAGGTCGGTTTCTTTGTATGTAAGTACAGATGTGGCTGGCTGTGGACTTCCAGTAGATAGCTGTGATCAGCAGTTGTTTAATTTTCCATTGTCTGTTTGCCCAAACTTAGACCAAACCCAGAGAAAAATCACAAAAAGCATTTAGGCTCTATCCGCTGTTAAATACTATGTGATGGATAATTATCATCATGTAATTATTGCATGTTCAGAACATACTCATGATGCAAAAAACTGAAGCTGTTTGTCTGTCTTTCTAGTTCATGCAAAGGGGTTTGGATTCACAAACTAAAAAACAACTAGAAGAGGAAGAAAAGAAGATAATTAGTGAAGAACACTGGTATCTTGATTTACCAGATCTAAAGGAGAAAGAGTAAGCTTCTACCCTTTTGTACTTCTTATCATCATTGGAGTGTTGTGGAGTGTGAATAGAATATTCATATTTTTTGCTATAAAAGAAGTATTATTAATAACCAATTAACAGAAGCAAAAATAGCGACAGGCTGGCATTACAGCTTTTTTTATGATTTATTTTCAGGGACGTTCTCAAGGTTGCCTAGTGCAGTTTGACCTACTTTCGTTTCTTGTGTGTGTTGTTTTCTTTCACTCACAGTTTCTTCTAGATGCATGTAATTAGTTTCTTTCAGGCAGAGATCAATTCATTCACTGCTGCTTTTTCCCTTCATTTGAAAAAAGAAGTTTGAAACCTTGTGTTAGTAAATTCAGCTCCAGTCACATGGTTAGGTCCATTCAGGACAGTTCTGTCTTCCTGAGTCCAGCTCACTTCAAATCCTGTTTTTGTAATAGGAGAGATAATGGCAAAAATAAAGGAAGGCTTAGCTAATAAGGAAGAAAATGTCCATTCCTGCTATTTAGAAAGGTGCTTTAAATAGCAAGAGAACTACTTTTAAAATTGCTTGAACATACATAATTGCTGAGAACATACATAATTTTTAAAAAGCTGGGATCCAGGGAATTAACTGTGGTTGAATAAGGTCGTTGATAAAGTATTTTCCATTACTGTTGGGGGATATGACAAAAAGGTATTTGAGCTTCAGTCGCAGCCAGGAAGGTTCAAGCTGGACATTGGGAGAATTTTTCTAACAATGAGGCTATTGAAGCACTGGAATAGATTGCCTAAGGAGACACTGGATTTTTCATCATTGGAAGTCTTTTGAGGATGGGTTAGATGGACCTCTGCTGTTCATGGTACATGTTTAACTGATCCTACATTGAGGTAGGAGAATGAGCTTGATCTCTTCAGCCTAACTTCCCGTGATCGTAGGAGTTTGTTTTACATGGGAGATGAAGAGGATGAGGGAAGAGGTGCATATGTGTGCAAGGAAAAGAAGGATGGAACAATTCATGGAAGTACTTTTATCTAATGCGTGTATTATGAACGCCTCAGGGTCATGTTTCTTTTCTCGCTCCGTGCTCATTAAAAGAGGAAAAAAGGAGGGAGAAAGGGGAAATCTTTCTCTGCTGAACAGAGAATTACACAGTGTTTCATATCCTGACAGACTCAACTAATGCCAGGTCTAACATCACAATGAAAAATTAATTAGAAGCTTTTGCTGGTGTAGTAATGCCACCTGGAGACTGATATTTATGTGGTATTTTTATTCTGGCAAAAGCATTAATGTAGGTGGAATCGTACCAGCAAAGAGTGTTTTTTGTCAGGAGAGTTAATTTTGCTTGTGGAACTGGCACAGCTTTACTGGCAAAAAGTATTCCTTTGCACTCCAAGCTCCTTGTATTAAAAGATTTATCAGAGCAATTAAGCTTCAGAAAGTAGCTGATGGTTTAAAATACACTGTGGTTTTGTTTATTTGTGCGGGAGGAAGACAGCAAATGCTTTTTGCATTTGTTTAATTTGATTATTTTAAAACGCACCATTTGACAAATGCTGGGTTTGGGGTTTCATGCAGGAGCTTTATAATAGAAGAGAGGAGCTTTATGCCATGTGAGGATCTACTTTATGGCAGAATGTCCTTCAAAGGATTCAATCCAGAAATTGAGGTACCGTTTAAATATTCTGTTTTGAGGTGGTCTCGCATTAGGATTGAAGCCCTTGGGGATGGGGATTTGAGTGTTCACACTGCATGCTGTTTGGCCTTTGCAGCACCTTCCATAAATCCTCCCATGTACAGGAAATGCCTGATTCAAACCAAAATGTTGATCAACGCAGCATCTGGTGAATAGAAGCTTTTTATGTCCTTGTGTTGATGGTCAGTAATTGCATGACTCCTGCAGATTTTCCCTCCCTGAAGTGAGGAAACTGTCCCACATGCTGCTCACCAAAACAATAGCTCACTTTTCCTCCTGCCATTTAATTTAGAGTCCAATCCTACAAACATTCAACGCTATTTATTCAACACTTACTTGTGTAAGTAAGGGTTTAAAGTTCCAAAGTAAAAATTCTGGGCAGGAGAGTCCTTAATTTCTTTCTGGCATGATTCATGCTGATAGAACTACAATGAGATAGTAATCAAAATGTTACCACTGAACTGAAGCAAGAGGATGAAGGTGTAAAGACTAAGAGGTATGCAAAAGGCTATGCAAGGTGATTTACTGGGGATTCTTTTAGTTATTTTGAACTTGCTTTCACTGTGACTTGGCATATTATTGCTTCATGGTTTTTACTAGTAGTTTATTGTAAAACCTTGCAGGTATTTTTCCTTCTTAACAAAACCATTTCAAGGACTATGTGCTAACATCACAATGAAAAATTAATTATGATTTAATTCTCTGGTCTCCTGAAGATGTCTGGCGTGCCCTTGAGGATGTTTGAATAGTACAATTCACTGAAAACCCTGTCTCTGTGTTGCCTCTTTTCCCAAAGGCAAACTCTAAGCTTAGCTTAGCAACAGGCAGGCATGTTGCCTTTTCTTCATGAGTTTTTGTAACAGTATGCTCTAGCCTGACCAGGGAACAGCAAATAATTATTAAATTTGATTCCTACCTTTTATGCATTTCTTCTACCAGTCAATTTCAGCATAGTTGCTGTTATATCAGGGTTACATGTTTAAGCTATTTCTTGCTTCATTTTCAGAAGTTAATGATCCAAATGAACTCTAGGTGCAAGGAAGAAGAAATTGAAGTGGATGATAAAATGGAGGCTGATGTGTCAGATGAAGAAATGGCCAGAAGGTAAGTTCTATTTTATGACATAATGAATATTAGCTAGGAATATGATGTTACTGCATTATGTGTGGGAAAAATAAATCCAAAAGCAAACAAACAAAACACAACCCCACAACAGAATATGGTACTTTACAGAACTGATTTTCCAGGAATTCTGGTGTGTATTCAGTGGAATCACCATCACTTTTGGGGGTGAAATACCTTATAGGGGTTTTCTGCCCTTTGATAGCCAAGTATTCCATGCTAATTCCCTCCTTGTTCCAGATTGCTAACAAACCCAAACTATCAGAATGAATAATAATGTAATAGGTGATCATGTAGTACTTGTGCTTCTTAAGCTTCTGATGACCAGCTTTTTTACACTACTTAAATTGTTGATTAGATTTATGATTTGCTCCATCGACATTTTCTCTGATGTTAGTAAAAGCTGTAAATTTTTTATTATCTTTACAGATATGAAACATTAGTGGGAACGATAGGGAAGAAATTCTTGAGAAAAAGAGACCAGCGTGTACTCCAGGACGAAGATGAAGATGGGAGTAGTAACACAAGACCTAGCAAAAAAGCAAAGAAAAAGTTCTTAAAACCTCAGGATTAATGTCAACTGCACAACTGGAGCTAATAGAAATGTTATCTACCAAATATACTAACACGAACTGGAGATTGTTTGGAGTTCTTGCTATTTAATGTAAAGGATAGATTTGTAAATCTGAGTCTGTTCTCACTGAAAATTCTACCATCCGCACAACAAACATTTTTCAAAGTGGATGTGTATATAATGGATGTCATACATCCTTTCCTCTCTCAGCAGCTTTTAATGCGTGGGGCACTAATCCCATCAGCCTTTTTAAATGTTGTGCATAACTTGATCGAGTGTCACATGCAATCGAGAGCAACATTATTTACAATTTATGATAACATCTGAAAGAACTATTTGGAGTAAAGACGTGCTTTGTCCAGTCCAATAAGGCAGTTCAGCTTTCACTGTGTTTTCTGTTATGAAAATGAAAACCTTTGCTGTCTTCAAATTGAAAAAAGTCAGCAGAAACATGTTTTGGGGTTTTTTTACTGTGCTAAAAATAAGATGGGAAAAGAACAGAGAGATAAAATCCATTTTGTTGAATTTTATTTTTTATAAAGCTTATTTAAAAATAGAGGGGTTTGTAAAAACTTCTTTTTTACAGAGCAAGCCAAATATTGGGCAACATTTACAGATTGACGCTTGAGCAGATTGTGAGTCTTAATTTGTGTCTTCCAAAAGAAGTTTGCTAATCTTGTCTCTTTTTCAGCAAAAAAAACCCCAATCTTATAATTATCTAGGTCTTGTCATAAAAGCCTAATAATGGCTTCAGAAACATTTGAAAGCTGAATAAAAACTGATTTTTTCTGTGGTTAATGATTGTGGTTTAGCTAATTTAATGTAAAAAATAGTGCTTAATACAGTCTGATATAAGAAGTGATACTGTTTTGTGCTGGCCACAGATGTCCCCAAATATTAGCTTACTGCACTGACTTTTTCTGTTTAGTGTGCAATGAAGCTGTCTGAAGTAACGTTAGGACGGAAGCATCATGCCCTTTGGTCAGTCAGTGCTCTGGGCGTTGAAAAATGTCAGTGTGGTGGTGTCTAAAATCATAGCAGTTCTCTGTATCCTGGCTTTCAACAAGAAATATTTCTTTCTATTACTTCATTTCCCCAGCTAGATGTCTAAGTTACTCATCCTTAATGCTGACTCTCTGGAGAGAGAGGAATTTGTTAAATTGAAGCAAGTAGTGGCCATTCCGTCATGGACACAAGAGGCTTTTTTTTTTTTCTTTTTTTAACAACTCAGTGAGGCAAGACATGAAACTCAATTATATAAAGAAAGAGACTGTGTGCCTGCTGTATTTTGCATGTGATATATGAACGATAATCCATATATCAAGAGCACCTCATTAGATATTCAAGATGGATCACACATGGAAAGAGAAATATACTTTTAAGGTAGTAAGGGGACCTTATACAGGTGGAAAGTCTGTGATTCATGATCTGAGATAGTTTTTCAGAGCTAATTAGATACTACTGGTTCAATTATTTAAAACCTGATCATATATTATTGCTAGCTGAAAAGAAGTTAATGATGGCAAGACATTTTTCTTCCCATGGAAGATGTGACCTGAGCTAAGAAATGATTTATTGTTGGTCATCACAAGAAAAACTGAGAATATATCCCATTATTCTTTCTTGCTTATTAGTAGGAAAATGATTCCCCTCTATGTGAACACATTTCTTCAATGGAGAGAGACTTTCTGCATAGCTATGCTGGATAGTTGAGGGGGGGAAAGTGTGTTCTAGTGAACCACCAGCAACCAGGAGATGTCACTGCAATTGCACGCCCTGAGAGACAGTGGGTTGGAGAGGGTTCCAGTGGTGTCATGTAAAGGAGCTTTCAGGTGATTTTGATAACGATTAGTGGCTCAGATGAACGCCGTGTGAAGTCTTTCTTTGCCAAGGCTCTATGCAGAGAGCTCTTTTGCATTGCAGAGTCCTGTTCAGTCCAATGGGGGGTAATTTTGCGCAGTTAAAGGGCGTTCTGCTGTACGTTGGTACTTAATTTCATGTCATTTTCTGAGGGATGGCTGGAAATGTGAGTGGCATGGTGCATGGGTAAGAGCGTGAGTGAACTCTAAACAGCTTCCTAGAAAATCCATGATTTTGGAATTTGGGAGGGGGGAAGGGAAGGGTGGTTCTTCTGTTCCCTAAACATGTCAAACACCAACTGTGAAGAAATGATAGATTTTGGTTTATTGTCTTCAAATCTGGGTGCTCTGCTGTTCGCGTTTAGCTGGTGGCTAGGTGAGCTATTGAAATGCTACAGTAAGACCAACTACTAATTTTTAGCGCAATCTCTTATTCATGGGGAGTTTGTAAAATGCACTTTTAAAAGCACCATTCGTAGTGCGTTATTATGAGCAAGACAAAACTAGAAATCAGCCCTACATGACTTTTTAAATGTACTTTAAGTGCCCAAAGTTACAAGCAGGCATTTTATCTTGGGATCTTCTGAAATACCCGTCTGTATTTCCAACCTTATAAATACATATATACGTATATATTTTAAGTCTGGCTAGCTTCCTAGCCAAGGTAGAAACATTCTGCTATATAAAATCTGTGCTTGAACTACTCTTGACAGAGATGGAGTGTAGTGGTGCAATAATAATGCGAACCTACATTAATTCAAGCTTTCTTGGCTCTGACAGAGTCTCAAATGCAGATGCGTTTTCATGTGCGACTTCCTAAGCTGTAGAACTTTCCCACACGGTCGTGTTTCTAAATGAAAAGCATTTCTTCTTTGAGGACAAAAGCAAGTTGGGTAAGTAGTAAGCATTTTTGTTAAAGAAAATGGCTACCTGCAAAATTTAATGGGTAGAGAGTTATCAGACGCCAAAAGTGTTTGTGCCTGTTACACTAAGGTAGCTATTAAAGTGAAGAAAGCAAAGTGTGCGTTGTAGTTCGTGCTCACTGACAGCTCACAGTGTTAAGTTTAAGCATGTCTTTTGTCAGGTGAAGTTTTGTCCCTCCCTTTGACAGGCTGACAGTGTTTATTTCTGTAATAACTGCTGATGTTGGAAACATGGAAGTATTGAACAACATCTTCCTTGCTGATGTTTCTCATTTTGTTACTTTTATTCTGCTTAGTATTGGATCTTAGAAAGTCCAGGACCAGAGTCCAACTGAAGCAAGCCATCCTGTATCCTCCCTTTAGTAATGCATGAGCTGATTAAACTTTGATTCTTTGGGGAGGGGGGAGGATGTTCAGTGATGCCATGGAGTTTGAACCGTGTTTCTTCTGTTACGTGTCTTGTTTTCTAATAATACACTCCATCATAACAATTCTACAATCGCGGATGACTGTTGTTGCCGTTGGGCATTGCGTGTGTGTGTAATGGGCAGCTGGGCTGGGATTCTGGGACTTAATCCAGCGTTCAGACGTAAAAAGAAAATGTCTCGTCTTTCTGTTAATTGGAATACCATACTTTTACATTGTATTTGGAATTAGACAAGACCTGGGTGGGGGGTTATAAACGTTTGTTCTGCTTCATTTCAACAACAGTCAACAACTAAAACTGCACAGTAGCTTAGGCTCTCATTAAACCTTTCTCAGAGAGAGTGTTAATAAAGCATAGTCATGGTGAAGGATGTCAAACATCCCGTGTTTCCTTTCTGCATGTGAACACAAGTTTCTCTGAGAGCTGATGCTTTAAGGACTTGGTTGTTTCTTTTCTTTTCAGTCTGGGAGAGCATCTCCCTTCTACAATAATGCCTTGCTAATGGAACCCCAGCTTGAGGCCTCTGGGTTTGTTTGGGTTTGTTTGTTTTTACACCATTCTCATCTCAAACCTTTGAGGCATTTTGGGTCTGGCATTCACACCTCAATAACCTGCTTTCGTCAGCTTTTGGGGAGCTTTAGTTAAACTATGAAACTGTTCCTCAGCTGTACGTGTTGACGTTTCTTCATACGATCTGATGTTGCACAGTGAGGACCTGGTTATAATTGTTACATCGAGAGGAAAAATCCCACTCAGTGGTTATCAACAGATGGAGTCGGAGAGAGGGTTGACGCTTCAGTCATCAGCAGCTCCGTAGATCTTTAGCCAGAACGGAATAGTAGAAGGGGGTATCTGGGTTGAGTCCCATCATTGCAGGCACAATTAAAAATGCCAATATGAGTCTGTAGACTTCTGCCCAAGAAACCATTCCACACCGTAACCTGAGCAATTACCTGGGAGCAACAGCAGGAACATCTCTAGAGAAGTACAGAGGCAAAATAAGCAGTCTGTTAATGGCTGTCCTCAAGAGGCAGCAGCACCAGAAAACAACTGTACTTCATTGCATAGAGAGATACAGTTTGGTGACCTGGGTGAATGCAGATGGGAATTTCTGTCAGCTAGAATGGAGGTGGTGAGTGTTTTGAAGCTCGTAATGTTCCTTGGGGTCTCGGGGAACACCTTGGTTTGATCAGTCCTTTAGAAAGGGGTAAAAACCCTTAATGGGACCTTAGTATGAGAGAATAACATGAACACAAATTAGAGAACAAAGTCCTTCGTTCCATTATTTATAGAAAAACTGTGTTCCCACCTCAGTAAGATCTTTCAGTGTCCCCTATCGCCTCCTGCTTGGCCCTTGGTTCCTTGTCCCTGTGCAAGTACGCATGCACCCAGGCTGTCAGCCACCACCACGGCCGGTCAGCAGGGAAGAGCCGGCACGCACCGTGGCCAGCCCAGAGCTGTTGGCTGCTGAGCCCAGCAGAGGAGGCAACTACTGGGCCTCCTCTTCAGTGACCATCTTCTTCCTCAGCCTACGAGCTCTTTTTCCAGGAACTTGTAGGAACTTACCATCTCCAACACTGCTGTCAAATTTGTTCAATATTGGCCTGTTTGGTTCAGGAAGTTTGTGGTGGGAAGGGTTGGCCAGCAGATTGATAGCATGATGGTACAGACCTCATTTACTTAACAAATGGTGTGTGCAGGAGTCATGCAGTTGTGGGGGGGAGGCTGTATTTACAGCAACTCTTTATGCTTTTATTTTCCTTTATTTATTCTCAGGTATACATTTACAGCATTTGTGAGATTTATGATGAGATTACGTCTTTGAGCAAAAAGATATACTATCAGTGGGAGGAA